ATGCTGCTACATACACCATGATATACGGCACGTGTTCATAATGCTGCCACATACACCAAGACATACGACGCACGTGTTCATAATGCTGCTACATACACCAAGACATATGACGCATGTGTTTATGATGCTGCTGCGTACACCAAGACATACGACACATGTTCATGATTCTGCTACATACACCATGACATTCGTTACATGTTCATGATGTTTGCCACACGCACTATGAGATTCGACACGTGTACATGATCAACGCTACATGCACTTTGACACTCGACACGTGTTCATGATGTTGCTACATGCACTATAACATTTGACACGTGTTGATAATGTCGCTGCATACACTGTAACATTTGACATGTGTTCATGACATGTTCGCGCGGGGTTGGGGGGTGTTGGGGGTGGGTGGGTGGGTGGGTGGGGGGATAATGACATGTTTGTGTGTGTAGATCACATGCACTGCATACCTCTTCTTTTACAGTACATATAAATACTTATAATACACCATGACCTTCGACGTGTTCATGATGTATTGGGCTGTAATAACAAGACTGTGCACCTGCATCCTGTACACATTATGTACACAACATTTGCACGTAGTGCAAACCCGCCGCTTTTGCACTACGGACGACAATGGCAGTGGAGGTGGGAAAACACGCTTTCCTCCAACTTGAGCCGTAGGCGGAAGCCTACCGAGACGCCTGAGAGTGAAAATGAGGTACCGCCCATGTTTTTTGCATTCGCTTGTGGCAAAAAAAGAGAGAGCAAAAACCGATCCTTGAAAAATACAGTGTTTTTGACCTCCTATCTTGCATTGCATGCAAAAAGCAATGAAATATGCGTTAAAATGTGCCATCAAGGGCAGAGAGCCAGTTTTGCAGCCAAAACCACCAAAAAATGCGTGAGTATGGGAAGTACCACATTCTGTGCTTCAGAGACCATCCCATTAAAGACAAAAGTGTCAAAACGCACGCGCGGAAAACCGTCCGCCGGGTTGATTATGTGACTATATAATGGTAATCCTTTTCCAAATCAGTTTCCAACCTCCATTTTATAAAGCAAACCTGTGGGTGTTCTCAAACATCTAGGGTTGGAAACTCAATTTGTAAAGACACGTGAGGCATGTCACCTAGCTAAGATGGGAACCCGGTTGAATCATTTCGTACACATGTGTTCTTCCTCAATCAGCAACATATGGGGATGGGTCAACATGTAGCTTGACCTCCCAGCAAGGCCATAGGTCGGACATCTCGAGACCAGAAATGCCCTGAGACCACCAGAAAGCAAACTGATGTAAAACTCACTTGAAGGAAACATCGCACACCCATGAAACAGCAGCAGTGTGCAAACACAGCAGCGGACCTACGCGCACAGACTGGCGACTTATAACATGACTTTGTGTATGAAGTTGAAGTTGAGGCTAAAACAGTGAAAGCAGATGAGGAAAACCAAATTTTTACAAAACTTGCACCTCCAGAAATTGTCCTCAACCCCCTAGAAAGCACAAAGAGTTACTCATGTCAGTCATTTTGGATGCCTTGGAGACACCTCCAAAAACATGTTTTCGATCCTTCCAATTCCACAATGAAGCCCCCCCCAAAAGCACTTGAAGGACACATCACAGACCAATTGTGAAACTGAAGGTTCATGCAGCATGGACATCCAATCACATGCCGGACCGAAGGACTCGTGACCTCGTCCCGCCGCAACACGTGGCTCAAGTCATGCAGCAAAAAGCAACATCGAGCTTGCACTTTGGTTTGGTGTTGGGGCTGTCAATTTTAGATTGGCAGCGGAGCGACGTCTCCGGGGGACCCTTCGGAAGCCCAGGCTTTTGTAGGAAGACCCTCAGGTTTTTCGAAGGTTGTTTTTTGACCTTTTTCATCTCCGCCACTTTCGTCGAAGCGATGTCGATTGTGGATTGCCTTCGCTGGCAGAATTTCTCCTATGCCCAGGAAGACACCTGGTCTACTGAGGCAAAATCTGGTGTGCCAAGATACGATGGCGAGGTGAGCAAATTAGCAGAGTATCAGTTCAGGGTTCGGTTGAGGCAGGCGAGAGAGAAGAGCATGGACGAATCTGAACTGAAAAAGCAAGGACCGTTGGCCCTACGCCTCATCGACGGCCTTCGAGGCCCAGCTCTGCAAGTCGCTCGCTCGCTTCCTGTCGACAGGTTGGCAGGTGAAGATGGCGCTACAATCCTCCTCAAAGCCCTTCAGAGTTCGCTACAGCCTCGCTCCAAGCAAGAGGCACGGGACCTATACCAGATTGGGGCACAGCAGGGTGGTGTACTTTCACGCCAACACGGTGAAAGCATCCCCTCATATGTTTTGAGGAGAAAGGCTTGGTACAACCTCATGTTGGACATGGATTCAAGTTTGAAGCTCCCTGAGGCCATTTTGGCCGAACAGACATTGCAAAACGCTAGAATCAATCACGATCATCAATGGTCGGTGAGAGCTGCAGTGCATGGGGAAATTACAATGGAGCGCATTTGTGAAGAGTTGGTAGCACAACACAGTCGCATCCATGAGGTTGAGGCCCGCAGAGGAAAAGGCAACTACAATCGATTCAGCAAGGGTTACACTGGCAAAGGCTACAACAAGGACCGCAGAGAGCATATCATGTGCAGCCCTCAGAGGAGTCGTACTATGAGTGTGAAGAATGGGATTCCCACTGGCAGTCGCTTGGCGGGTATGAAGACATGGAATCCTATGCAGCACAGGACAATCAGGCCTACATCGTGGACGAGGAGGACTACATTCACTCCGTCTACATGAACATGTTGGACGAAGGGCTGGATGAGCATGATGGAGAGTCAGCGGACTATGCCGCTGAATTGCTGCAAGCTGAGGCCGAAGCCTTCTACATCCGTGACCGTGCAGGTCAGTCAGGACACAAAGGATTTGGCAGTGGATCCAGGCAGTTCCAAGTTCATGGACACCTCACCATGGAGGAGCGCAAGGCCAGAGTTCAGGCCCTGAAGAGCCGTACACAGTGTCGCAAATGCGGACAGCAAGGCCATTGGGCCAATGATCCACAGTGCCCTCGTTGCTTCAAGTCCAACAAGGGCAAAGGCAAGAGCAGCGGAGGATCTCCATCATCGGCCTCGACGACTACAAGTTCTCCGAAGTCCGGAAAAGGCAAGGGCGGCAAGTCATCTGACACGCCAAGGACTGTCTACTTCACGATCAACGAGTACCAGGACGATGAAGCAGAAGATCCTCAGGCCTACATGGTGTTGAAGACCACCGGCCGTGAAGAGACAACTGATGAGATGCTTGACCGGCTCATTGCTGAGGCTCAGGTTCGACAGTTGCACTCAGTTCCAATGGCTTTGACTACGCCTGAGGCATCTCCATTTGCATTTCCTGCAGGCCATTCCATTGGTGAAGACTTCAGCATCCTCCAATCAGATGCCCGACGCGCCCATCTGGACAACTTCATGACCTTGGTGAATGATCCAGCTGATCCAGAATGGCGCGATGCTTATGAAGAACGCTGGAATGAGTTCTATCCCGGGCATCCGTACTTCCATGAACAAGATCTTGGGAGGCTGAAGCGATGGCGCTGGAAGGCTGAGCAGGGACTACCTCGACTACCAGTTCCTATGAGCTCGTCAGGACCTATGGCATCTTCATCTCAGCCCAACATTCCAGAGATTGCTGAAATTTGCAAGTGCAAGAACCTGACCAAACAGGGCTCCAACATGCACGTCAAGATCACCCGTTGCAAGGATTGTGGCAAGCACTTGGAGTACGAGAAGTTGGGCAAGCCCATGAGGTCGGCTGAAGATGCGGCCAAGGCCAAAGGAAGTTGTGATCACAGATCGAGACTGGCGAGGCAGCACGGGAACTACATGGCAGTGGAGGTGCAAGACATGTGGTCATCTTGAGAAAGGCCAGAGGACTGGTGGCAAAGGTAACGGCAAGACGGCATCTCCATCCGGAATGATTCCCGATGGGGACACAGTGGACAAGTTTGTCGAGCTCTTCTCCATCTCCGTACGCCTTCAGAAGGAGATTGCAGGAGTTGTGACTTGAGAGAACCTCGACAAGATCTATGAGAAATGCAAGATGGCAGTGTTTGGAGGAGGAGATTCACCGGCCAGAGACACTGGTCGGAGCTACGCAGCCGTCAGAAGCCCGAAGCTCCAGTCAATGTTGATGAGCTACATGGTGTGGAGTTCAAAGCTGGAGTGCACAAGGGCCGATCTTTCAAGATGGTCTATGCCTATGAGAAGACTTATGTCAAGGGGATCATTTCCAAGCACGCCAACGATAACATCAAGGACGTGCAGTTCGCCAAGTATTGCATGGGACGTCAGGCGGAGGAAACCGGTAGTGCATACATGGTCCACGACTCTGAGATCCCTGATGAGCTCTATGTCATCTTGGACACCGGCTGCAACAATACGTGCCACGGCTCACGATGGATGGACAAGTTCAAGAACTACATGGGCATGCAGCCAGAGTTGATGGCCGCGGACGGATGATTCCGTGGTGTTGGTGGCAAGGTGTCAGTTGCAGGCAAGAGGACACTACCTGTCTGCATGAAGTCACTTGATGACGAGATGGTGCCAGGACATATCACCTCCATCGAGCTGGAAGATTCAGATGCGCCACTCTTGCTGAGTTCAACGGCACAGAAGGCACTTG